TTCAAGTTTTTTTTTTTAGTTATTCGGCTAATTCATTTACTTTTTTTGCTTGTCACCCTTTTGGACGGCAAAAAATATTACCTAATTACTTATAGCCATTAATCTCCTAGATAACTTTATCAGGCATTAGCAGCTTAGTGTAATCACTAATCATTTATCATATAATAACATTCATTGTTTTCTTTCATTGTGCTCCAAGCATTCATAGTTTTAAACATACCTTTCCATTCCTCCCATTGCTATAAGGAATGCATTGCTAAATATTTTTACCGCAGTAGGTCTTCTGTTCGACTCTGGATATCTTTTACTTAAGAGGGTTCGCCATAATCTCCACGGTGGGCTGGAGATCAAAGTTTAGAAGGCAACAACTGCGTTTTGTCACGAAACTCGACTTCGCAAAGAAAATTGTGGAATGAACTGTCCTCAGCAGTGTCTGCGAACCGAAACTACAGAATATCTCCTACCATGTTCCTTCTAAACTTCTTTAGTTTCCATCATTAGACATTTATTACGAAAAATTTCTTCTTTTTTTTCAGGTGGGAAAATCATCCAGTGACATCTCCCACCCGGGTGAGGCGATAGGGAGTGTTGGACTATTACTGACTAAAAACCACCCTGTTCCTTCTCCTGCACTTCGAGCTGGAGCCCTAGCAACCCGTTAAGTCCTCCGCGGCTCCGTATTGAGCCCTATCTGTGGTGGTTTGACGGCTACGAAAAATTGCACCAAGCACCTTTTAAGACAGTCATTTATTTTACTTAACAGAAATGGATTTTTGAACGAACTTATGTTAAGCACATACATTTTGTGCCGCTCATGAACATAGGGAAAAGTGATTACGCAATCACTTTCCTAGTACACGTGGAACGAAGGTAATTACGGTTTTACTGACTTACGACGATGGTCAATTAGAAATAATTGCTTTGAAGAACCGAAATGACTGTTGAATGCCCCAAAAACGTTAGTGGCGACATCTAGCATTCATTTTATATTGGAAACTAAGACACGAAACTAACTAATTAACGTAGTACTCCAGTATTAGCTGTGTGGAGACGGAAGACCAGAATACCTTTGACACCACCTGTAGTGTTTCAGCGGGTATCATAATAGCTGACTAAGGGACTAAGATTGAGATTCGACCGACACCGAGCAGCAGCGCTCACTGGTCAATATTAAACTTTTGAACAGCGATCTCAAACCTGGCAAGTGAAAAGAAAATGGCGACCAACCGTGGACCGTTGAAGATGACCGTTGAACATAATATGTATAACATATTACAATAAAATCGTAGAAAAGTCAAAACTGTAGATGAAATATTTTTTTTAAAGAATACTTGGAGCGTGATCTACAGTCGATTCTAAAGCCAAAAATATGTTTTTTACAATTTTGTCTGTTTGTCTATATGTATGTCCGGAATGATCTCAAAAAGTACTGCATGGATTTACTTCAAATTTTGTATGATTATTATTAAAGGGTCGGGTTAACATATAGGCTACATAATAACACGCTATCACCAAACGGGTATGCGCAGTAAATCACTATTCCACGCGAACGAAGTCGCGGGTACAGCTAGTTTCAATTAAACCAGAAAGGCACTTTTGAATGTCCACAAAAAGAAAGTGATGCTATTTGCTCATTCTAAAGTGGAGATTTCTATGGAGAAGAAATAACGAGCAATTAACTCCTTAAGTTACTCTTTTTCAATCAGATTCACAATACAATTCTTTAAATGACGAACGATGTTTCTTAATTAGATAAAGTACTATTAAGTTTTACGATAATATATGTAAGTATTTCTAGAAGGAATAAAAGGCGTATAAAGAAAAGACCTTGTAAATAAACGGTATTTTTAGTAGTAATAGTTATCGCATTCAGCATAGATAATGATAGTTGGGAAAGAAACAGTTGCGTTCAGGGTCTACTTACCGATCGACAACGGTAACGTATGAAATATGAGTAAAATGGTTAACTTGCTATTTTTTTTTTAAGTTTTTATTTTAACAAAACCTTGCAAAAGTGGTTATTACTGATTGAAATATTTTAAGGTATATCGATTTCCGCATTTTGCATTAACAATCCAAATTTTGAAAAATCTCACCTGAGATTGTGGGATGGGGGAGGGTGTTGAATAAAATCTCACGAAATCTCACCAGGGGGGAAGGAGGGAGAGAAAATTAAAAAAAAACACCTCACGTATTTTATGGACGCCCCCTTACCTACAGAGGATTTTTCGAAAAATATAAAAAATGTTTCTCAGTATTTTGCCTGATGCGTCTTTTGCCTTATGCTGTCGCACTTGCGGCCACTCGAACAAATCATGTGGTTTTTATATCCGCATATGTACCCTCTTGGAACAGAGCCGCATTATCCCTAAGGCAAACTAGGCAAGTGCCTAGAGCGCCAGGTTGCAGAGAGGCTCCACGATACGTGCATGCTCTGTACAATTAATCAGCATCTGGGTTTATGCCTACCGCCAAGCCATGGAACAAAGGCGTGATCTTAAACAGATATGTACTATGTAAAGGTACATATGTTTCTGCATTGTACGGCAAAACTTGTACACTTCCTTCAATAACTAGATAATCAAGTTTTTACTTTTAAATGCTTGTAAATGACAAGGTTGCAAGACTGACAACTGTTTACATATTTTAGTACCAATTCTTAGGTAGGGCAAAGTGTTATTGTGTTTCTCAAGATCTTAATTATCAGTAAAAATAATAAATAAGTAGAATGTATTATATGGTATGTATATGTCTACACTGATTTATAAAATATTGTATTCATATATTTATTCTATAGGTTATTTATGTGTATAGTATACATATTACATAACTCTTTTTTTATTTTCTCAATTGTGTTCTGACTTCGCATCAACCACTTCATTTCTCTGCACTTCCCTATGGTTGACTGTAAGAGAATACCTTAAGGCATTAAGTCCGCCATTCACTGATGTATTTTGTGAAGACGAAATAAATAAATAAAAATAAATAAAAATGTCTGTTATTAGCATAAGGTTTGCCCTCTATATTAAAATAAGACTATTAATCAACTAGCTACATATGTGCGACTAGACTTCCTCGATAAATACTCTAGCCAACAGAATAATAATTATTCAATTTGTATCAGTAATTCGATAGATTAATGAGTTCAAACAAAAAAACAAACCAATTCAAAATTCTTCAGCTAATAAGTTTTCAGTAAGGCTAATAAAATAACTTAGGTAACCAACTAATCTTTAATTGGTAAGAAAAAGGAACATTATTATTACCTTTTGAATTCATAAAAAATATCAGGAGTTATGATTTTAGTGTATTTAATTGACTTCACTAAAAGGAGGTTTTAAACTTAGCCACTACGATTTTTGTTTTTATTTTGAAACTTGTAATAAACAAAGGTAATTATGATTCTGTGTCTGTTGATTGAATTGTCCATTTTACAATGTATTATTTTTAAATCCAGTCCGCGCAAGGTGAACAATTTTAAAATCTTTTTTTATCAAAAATTATCATTTTCATTGACATACAATCATTAAAAAAAATAAAAATGTTTGTTGATCGTTCATTGGTGAGAAACTCTACAGTTTTATATGTTGTTTAACAAATTATACTTTCTAATAATAATACAATTTGGGTTAAAAGGAGATCAAATTCCATTACTTTATCTAATTAGGTTTGATAACAAAACTAATAAGAAATAAACACTGTTATCTATTAAAATTCTTAATCAGATGATTAAATTAGGATTAACTAGCTGTTGTTGTTATGTGTGATAATAAAAAATAAATAAAAAAAATATGCTATCATAGACAAGATGGCTGGTAAGACACATTTTCTTTTTTTTTTCTTGAATAAAATTTGTTTTAGTTATTTCATGTATAATGTGTATTCTTATAACATTTTAAATATTCATTTCATATGATTGGATCATAATTTTAATATTTAAAAATATTTGTTGATTAATTCATAGTTTAAAATTACATAGAAAGGAAAATATTCCATAAATTATTTGTGACAAGAAGTTTTTTCTTACTAGACCCTTGATTTTTCTTTTGCATAATTAACTATATATTTTTTTCAGCAGATAAGGTCTAGTCTACTAATGATTATTATAAACATTTTAGAAGTGTTCATAGATAAAAATAAACAATATTCAATACATAGCCATTCATCCCTGTAAAAGGACTAGGAACTTTCAAATATGGAACAGGAATTAATTGTTATTGGCAATTAAAAACGGCCTCTATATAACGTATCATCAAAATCCAAGTCCATAGCAACTAAATAATAGAAACTATGTACTTGCTTACTAATGTTTACATTACCATACAATGTGCGACACGCATCATAATTACCGTTTGCATAATCTCGTTTCTGGTGTCATTAGAAAGAGATTAACCGCGATAAATTTTATGTAATAAAGCTTACAACAGAAGAAACTCAACTAATCGATCAACATTGCAATAAAAAATTAAAATTAAGAAGAACTCACCGCTCTTCGGTAAACTCCGGATTACGTTGACCGCGGCGTTGAATTTATCTTCCAAAGACATGTTTGGCACGTATGTAATATTATCACAAACACAAATTATTAAATTTTAAACAACACGCACTTTGGACTTGATAATTTAGTGTCTAAATTACACCGAATCACAGCACGATTAGCGACATGCTTATAACACATTCACTGTGGATATTAGATTGTAATCAACACTCCGTGATGAATTTGTAATAAAAGTATTTATGTATGAAGAAAAACGATGAAAACGAACATAAACTGCGACGAACGAATACCACCGCCTTCGAATGAAATGCAATGAGAATGATTTCTTTCAATGATTTGACAGTATTGACATGTATGTATGAAGTTAAGGGATATACTTGCAAGTTTAGAATTTGACTCGATATCGATAACATTTAAGATCTCAATTTGTGTTAACATATTATCTCGTTTCATTATTTAGTACTTTATATATAATTAGTAAATGTTATGAAATTTTAAAAACTTTTTTATCACGTGGTAATTTTGCAGTATCAATATACAGTAAAATAAAAAATACAGTTTGTTTAGAAAAAGTGCAATCCTGTAAAGCATGAACACTTATTAGAATGAATCAAATAAAATTAATATGACTTCAATTAATTGTAATATTATATACAATTGCCCCTATAAGTTTTCGTAACATAATATTGAGAAATAAATAAATTAAATAATTGATCGATATATATTTTATTTTTTTATTTTTGGAACAGCACTACGGCTAACTGACATATCAGTAAATGTTGCCAAAAGAAAAAAATTTAACGTTCGGATACACGCATAAAAGTATTACAAATCATCGAAAATATTTTATCTGTACTAATTTTTTTCCGCTCTTGTCAAGTTGAAGCGAGTCCTTCGTTGATTCCTTTTGTACCGAATATTCCTAATTAAAGGTAATAAATCCCAAGATTTTACGAAAATCCTAGTGTATAAGTGTAATTTTAAAAAGTTTTAGTGTCGAGAGGTGTAATAATTGCAAGTTTGTGTTGTTATTTCAATATTTTGGTTCGGTATATTAGCAAAACCCGCGCCCATATTATTTTCGCACAAGTGTTCAATTATTTACAGTTTTCAGTGATATTAACTATCTAAACGTATTGTATTAGGCGTTATATTTTAATTAAAGTATTTCCGCATTACTCTGCAACATTACGAAGCTCTGTATAACGTAATTTTAATTATTGATGCTCATGGTCATGTCTTCGTGCTTTATTCTTGGTTAAAATATCGGCTTTAACCTCGCTATCAAATATCCTAGATTAGTTATATGCTACATTTGTCTCTTAAAACATCACTCCAATGAATATTTAATCTTTGAAATGTGTATTACTGTGTAGAGCTTATATTTAGGTTCTACATTTAGGCATTTGCGCACTAGGGACCTCCATACAAACTGGGAAGGTTATAAGCAACACATAATAACGTAATAGAGGCCTCTTTACGACTTATTTTGGTGAATAACTTTCCACTTTTGTTATAAATTAAAGAATGAAACTTTATGTCCATGCTAGAAAGATAATAAAGTATCAAATTCTGTCTCACAAAATTCTATTTTATTATTCTTGAAGCAAATTGTTATGAAGCTAGATCTAGCTGGCCAGTATTGATTTTGTAATGTACAGACAAGAGTTATTGTGTGTAACCTAAAACCTCTTTGTTATCTTGGTTGAACTTTGTATTTTGGGTAAAAAGTGACCAATTTTGTATATGATTATCTCTCTATTTTGTGAATTTCATCATTGATATTAGTTTTATTTGTAAATATGCTAATTTCATAAAATATTTGCCTATCTTATTGAGATGAGATGCTTTGGTCTCTTAAATCTATATGGATCTATTTATAAATTTTCTTGCTAGGGTGCAGATTATCTATTAGTTACTTTGTCTTGTAGGCACAGAATGAGAGTCGGATACAATATTTGTGAGCACAATTTCAGACTCCTTGCTACTGAGAAATATTTAAAAACCCAGTAATATTTTCCCCGAACCGAGAATCGCACATGAGACCCCTTGCCCGGTTTATAATTAATCTGTGATTATAAGGAACTGTTTGTTTGCCACTTATACTGTATATTAAGCAGGTTTTATAATCAACAACACAGAAACAGTCTTAAGTTTAAGCCATGTAATTAATTGATTGATCAATCTGTTAACAGGAATCTTCGTCTAAACCAAAATAACATCAAACACAAACACCACAATGCCGGAACTGACAGAGCTGGACAAGGCCACCGCCTCCATGACTGAGAAGCGCAAGGAGGAGACTGCTTCCTCGGACAGCGACTCCGATGACACCATCCCAGAATTGGAAGATGCTGGTAAGATGTCTTTGCTTTATTAGATAAGCTGGTAAATGAGCAGACTGATCCACCTGATGGTAAGCAATCGGCATCGCCCATGGACACGCGGAACACCAGAGGCGTTACAAGTGTGTTACCGGCGTTTTGAGAGTTAAGAATTTGAGGATTGTTGGGAAGGGATGATTCTGCATATGTTAAACATTATAAAAAATAAAATTAATTACTATAAAAAGCAATCTAGAGCAAAGTTGTTCTCGAATACATACAAGATTTCTATTTATAATTCCAGAATGTTAAAGAAATTGACTTGCTGAGCTAATGATTATACTCAAAAGCATAATTGCATTATAATGTGTACAATCTTTAGCTCGGATAAAGTATCATTCGATATTCACATTTGGTTTATGATACTATAAATAAATATATAGAACTAAATATAAGTTTTACAGAAGTTTCGATAGAAAAGACACTTGGGAAACCAAACGGCTATACAATTTGATTAAAAAATAGTAATGCTATAATATACTGCACATTTAACTTCTGACTTGAGAATTTTGGTGTTAATGGGACCTTCTACTTATCTGTGCCAATACAATAGATTTATTGTGAATGGCTATTCAGATGGAATATCTTGATCTTTGTCTTATCAGCATAAGGAATTCCTGTGAATCGTTTTCATCCATATTTGAGAAATAACAAAATGCTATAGGATGTTCTTACTAACTTCATAATAGTTATTTATAACTTTGATCGATATTACAGGTGCACCCGGCACTGGAGGCATCTCCAACCCGATCGCGGGCATCGACATCGTGTCCAAGGCTAAACAGTCGCGCGGTGAGAAGAAAGCCCGCAAGATCATGAGCAAACTCGGACTCAAACCTGTAAGTTAAAAGCTTATCTTGTCTTAGCTGGTCACAAGTCTATAGTTCGTATAGTAGTCTAATGAATTTCATATTCTCTGTGATCCAAGTCAATTTGTCCCAAGTTTAACAATATGATAGTAAAATTAAACAAATAATAAGTGGCGGTCTAATGTAATAGAAGTAAAGTTATTAAGAATAACAATTACAGTATTCTAAAAATATTATTTTTGTTGTAATATCTTTATATGAAATTGGTTAACACTGTTAATCACTAACCACAAAAAGATATCTGACCACAATATGCTATCAAAGTGTGATACTCATTATAGTAATGACATCACATCACAGAACAATGAATTGAATCAGACTTAGTAAAATTATAGTATTCTTCACTATTAAGCCTTTGACTGCCAATAGAAAACTGATAAAGGCAAATCCTCCACTAACGTTCGTCAGCGGTGACCCCCACGGCGTTTAATGTGTTAAATAACACCATAACATAACATCACGCCTTTTATCCCAGAAGGGGTAGGCAGAGGTACACATTAGGTATGCCACTGTACAGTGTATCACCCAATTTTCACTATTTACCTATGTTATGAGTCCCATATAATAGGGGGCAGCCTATTACCATATACCGGGCACAATTCCAGACTCTGTGCTATTACTGAGAATTTAAAAAAAAAACCAGTAATAATTTGCCCGACCCGGGAATCGTACCCGAGACCCCTTGCTCAGCAGTCGCACTAACGATCACTAGGCCAATGACGCAGACCAAATTATCAATTCTTGAGCAAGCATCACCATGCTTGGTGATTGAGGTGATAGGTGATTCATACTCATACTCATACTTTCTCTGCGTAAGTAAAAACCTTTGTTCAGCAGTAGACTAATGATACGATGATATCAATTCCAGGTGCAAGGAGTAAACAGGGTCACAATCAGGAAGTCAAAGAACATCCTCTTCGTCATCAACTCCCCGGATGTATACAAGAACCCTCACTCAGACACCTACATCGTGTTCGGAGAGGCCAAGATCGAGGACCTGTCTCAACAAGCCACCATGGCCGCTGCGGAGAGGTTCAAGGCTCCCGAGAGCGCTGCCGCTGGCAATGATGCTGCTGCGGCTGGAACGGTGAGAATTTTTAGCCTTTTTTTTTTAGATATCTCGAACTAGTATTCAAAAACTAGTACTGCAAAATTCAATTTTACTGAACTGTTGGCGCAGCGCCTGGGTATCTCGTTGTGGCGCAACTTGTCGCGGATTCAATTCCCGCATGGAACAACTATTTCTATGATCCACTAATTGTTATTCCTGGTCTTTACAAAAAGCTTTTGTGTGAATGTAGACACTAATGATGATAAATATTATGCTATAATTGATTTACGAATATGAAATCTACCTTGGCTGTGTCTGAAGTGTTCTGAAATTAAAAAATTACCTAAAAACCTATCTAGTAAATAACAATAACGACGCCATGGCTTCAAAATCAGCGACTCGACACATTAAACATGTACGCATTTATTATAAAAACTTTATAAACAAATCCTCTTACAGACGGTGGCTCCCATAGCCGAGGAAGAGGATGAGGAAGGAGTGGATGACACCGGGGTGGATGAGAAGGATGTCGAGATAGTGATGTCACAAGCCAACGTGTCGCGGGCGCGGGCCGTCCGCGCGCTCCGGAACAACCAGTCGGATATTGTCAACGCTATTATGGTATGTATTGCTTAGATCATAGGGTTCATATTACTGTTTTTTGGTTTTCAAATATTCACGAAATGTATGACTACTTTACAAATCATTCTTTCTGTCCGGTTGTCCACTGATAAACAGCAATGATAATCTATATTTTTAGTTTGTCGTGAATGATAGTACAATTTGTATGTATTTTTTATTACAAAGCACAATCTATTCAAACACATATTCCATCTAACTAATTAACAAATTTTACCCTTTCTCTTTCACAGGAGCTGACAATGTAATCTGTTCCTCGGCGTAGTCAAGCGTATGTTAACTGTTCTAGCTTTAAGTCTCCGATATTCTCCTCGAGTGGGAGCGAGCCAGATATATTGATGTATTCACCTCCCACTCGCACACTCTCAGAATCCAAAGGTCGATGACTAGATTTGTTTTGTACGGTACGGGATGTATATAGGCTAACTTACTTCAATACAATAAAATTATGGTAATACTAAATTGGTATTTTATTTATGAAAAGGTACATTTTAACTATCCTAACCCGTAGAATGTGTCGCGGAGAACCTAACGGGTAACCGGGGCTCCGGCTCGACGTGCAGGAGAAGGAACGGGGTGGTTTTTAGTTAGTAAGAGTCTGAAACTCCCTCCCGCCTCACCCAGGCGAATGCAGCCATTCAATGATTTTCCCCACTTAAAAAAAAACTATAGAATGCGGAACCAAGGCATGTAGGCAGATGTACTTACGCAAGACACTGTATTTTCTATGGTGTTTATTATCTCATAGACTGGCTAAGTTATTACCGTAAAACGGGATGAATAGAATTCGAGAGGTGAATAGATACAGGAATGGGGTAATTAAATGTTAGAATATTTTACCCAACATTATTCACCCCTCTTTTGTATCACATTTTTCGTTATACAAAACAGAACAAGTAAAGCTGACCCCAAATGTCCTCTGTATAGGGCATAAAGTCACGGTGTATGAGCAAAAATTACTGCAATCATTAACCCGGATAGGTTCAAGATCGCTGTAATTTCGACTCTTTTCATACGACTGTGACAAGAGTCAAAATGCAAACTCGTCTTTTATGTAGAGATCTATCGTGGCCAGTCAGTGGCATCAATACCACAGTTCAAACAGTCACTTGTTGTCGTTGTAGCCCAGCAGAACTTGAAGAGCTTACATTTCGGGAATCGTACTCGAGCCTCGAAGCCATGAAGCAAAAATACTAAGGCCCCAGTTATGGCTTTTAGGATCATTACCAACGACATAGTAACGCTAGGGACGCACGACGCGATTTTCACCCGCACCCCCGTGGTATCGGAATGAAGATTTATTTTCAAAACTTACGAGACCTCCGACCGACCCTCCCATTGCGATCGCCTGCCATCCGTGAAATGTGCTTTAATTTTTAACATACATATCTGTATGCATCAAATGCTGCGGGCAGAAAATCGCTTCGTGGGTCTTTAGCCTAATAACTGTACGATTGGTGCAGTGCAGAGGCTAGACGACGGACTTCTGCGCAACTTGTCGAGGATTCTCGCATGGAACAACTCGTTTGTGTGATGCACAAGTTCAGAGTGTCATGATGTCTATTTTCATTTGTGTTTGTGAACGTACCCACGACAGGAGAGAATCCAAGTAGGTATGGGGCAACTCATAAAAGGAGGAGGCACATAGTATGAAATAAAAGACCAAGAAATAAATTAGCTTATTATTTTATTAGTGCAATAAGGCATCCTTCACGTTTGGTATAAACCACTCGCATACAGTGAAATGCATTGACTTACATAATATAATTAAAATAACATAACTGTTACATTACATTGAAATATTACTGAACTTAGAATGCTAATAGTGGTATATTTTGATAATATGACTTTATTTTCAAACTATTGCTGCTCGATGCCTATAGATCGTAGCGTGATGGTTTAGTCTTATAACCTTCCTCGTTAATGGACTATCTGACACAAAATAAAGTACCAAATTCGTACCAATACTGTTCCGTAGATTAGACCGTTCGATTGTATGAAGTTGGAGTACTGTATTTCCGTGTTTCAGTCTAGGTGTTTTCTTCCTGAATGGAACCGAGTCTACAATACAATGTTATCGACTATACTGCACGAGTTCATAGACGATGCGTTAATGAATATCAAACTCGATACTTTGTGGTAGTTTTGTATCGATACACTGGAAATTTTTAGCACTATGAATAAGATCACTAAAATTGACAAAAACCGTAGCATGGACAAAAGCCATAGAATTTTATTTGATCATCATCTTAAACTATCAAACACCAAGCGGTCATTGGTGACCGCAACCTATTGTTCTATAATTGTGTCTATAATGACGGTACTCAACGAGTTAAGTAGGTATTATTATCAACAACAGGACATCTACTGGTAAAGATGAATTCCAGATCAGTCGTTTAGAAGCAACCTGCATATTGCTTATGTTATAGAAAATTTTCAATATTATACCATTACTAGCATTCTAAATTACAAAACTGTCGACGTACAAACACCGACAAAGGGTGACACATAAATAAAATTTTGAGACAGATACAAGCTCTTAGGATATCTAGCGAATCCGTCTAGTTGAAGGTTAAAATAAAACAAATATTCTAATAGTTGTATGTACTACATATTATGAAATATGTACAATTTGTGATTGTTAGCATAAAATGCATCTGTAATATAAGACAGACTAAATTATTCCAGTTTTATTGTCCATTTGATTAAACATCAAACTGAACTTACACGACCAAGCTCCAAATATTAAAAATAACTATTATACCAGTCATTTACATATGCATAAATATCTCCAACCATGATTGAACAGTCAACATCAGTCGACTGGACAATTTCTTTACATGAGCTGCTGTTTACATGTGAACATTAGCTCATGACGATACCTAAGTATGTGTGTCGCCTGTCAGTCAGTCACCACTACCATCAGTTCGACTAAACAATACACTTGAAGAGCTGACAATACCAAGTAATTATTTATTTTGGTAAATATAATTATGCATACATAACAGGACTATAGTTAGGCGTATTATTATAAAAGATCATAGATATAATAAGGTTAGAAAATAATACTTTTACTCAATAGAGTCTGCTGGTGAGCGAACATCATCAATTTTGAGTATCATCTTGACGAGTTGTGTAGCGAGGGAAATCTGTTGTTTCTTTGAGTGAAGCGACTCTATCACGTTCATTGCTTTCATGTCATTTGATCCTGAAAGAGAAGGTATTGAAGTTATTTTACTGCAGTAATTTGTTCGTTGTTGGTCTAACTATATTGAAGATAGGCGAATTTCTCGTAAATTCAACTTCCTCAATGCAAGCCATGGTCTAAGAGCTCTATAGAAACCTATGGCCAAGTTAGGGGTCGACTATGATTAGGCGGTATTCGCATACATTTGGCGTGAGCGATCACAGAGAAAACAGGGCGGTGGGTAGCTAGTTTGGGCCTAGAATTTTGTTTAAAAAGTGTACTACGGTTAACTTTGCCGATAGTACATATAACTAACAAGAACCGGTTCAATTTCATAATCAGCATCATCAACAGCCTGTAAGTGACCACTACCACAAAGATATCTTCTCACATGGATAAAGTTTGAGCATTGATCGCCATGCTTGCTCAATGCGGGTTGGGGATTTCAAACTTATAATTAGAGATTTTAAGCCCAGGTTTCCTCACAATGTTTTCCTTCATCATTTGTCAGTGGTGTCTAAATAATTTTAGAAAGTACATATGACTCGGAAAATCTCACATTGGTACTTGAATTTTTAATGCCTGCCGTGCATGCATTCTTATGAAGAATTCGTTTTTATCTTATACCAACTTCGTACATTAACTTATTCTATTAGTTGTTGTTAAAATTATGTCAATGCTTACCTTTGCCCATGCAGTCAATGCCGAGGTTGGGGTTGTTCTCGGATGCTTGACGAGACTTCACCTCCGACAGCGTGTCAATGGGGGACAGACCACTAAAAACACAACAATATAATATCACAAATAAATGTTCATTCCATTTCATTTCATTAGTTAGGATAATATTTCCACTACAGTAGCTTTACACGACATAGTATACCAGTACCATAGTTAAAACTACTAAAAACGCGCTTTTAAATATGTAATAAGCCAAATCTCGATATTAAATATTCGACCATTAGACAGCCGAAGGCTCCCTCAGCCATCTTCCAATACCATATCATACCAGTTTGATTGCACCATGATATTGTATGGTCATCTAATATATCAACATAATTATTATAATTGTCCAGTTTCATTATGATACAAGAATTAGAAGTTTGAGTAATTGATACCATTACAATGTAAACTAATTTTTCTGTGTGTGGAATAAAGTATACAATAAAAAAATATCATTCTTCTTAAATTTCTTTTTTATAATGACTATCGTAAGACATACTAAATTAACTAAAAAATCCCAGACCAGAGACCAGTGCGATGCAGTAACCTGCGCGACATCGCGACCGCGCACGCTGCTCATAAGGAAGAACCCCTCTGTGGTTCGAAACTAGTAGAGCTTTTCTCACGTGAGTAGCCCGTGATTTTTAGTTAATTCTTAGATTTCGTTACTAGGTCGATTTCACTAATAAAAGCGTGTTTAAAAAAAAGTATTTAAGATGGTATACTGACCTGTTCTCAGAGAGTGCGAGTGGTATAGCCTCGAGTGCGTCTGCGAATGCTCTGTACGCGTACTGGTCGAGGGACGACAACTTGTCCGCCGCGCGCGCCACTGCCAGAGAACACGAGATCTCTGCTGCACCACCGCCGTACACTACGCGGGAGTCCTAAACACATATTTTATATTATAATAACACCTTACTAATATATTATAATAAACTAAACACATATTAATTATTATACACCGTGAAATTTATTTCGTTTTCGTCCCGCGGCAAAAAAACTTACCACGGGGAGTACTTTCAATAGTTTCAATGCATAAAGTAAGAACAAAAAACAAAGGTGTATTTTTTTTTGTTTTTATAAAAATATTTCATGGACATGAACCACCAGACGTAGGTAGACACTATTCGCATCGCACGTGCCACCCGACGAGTATTACATGTTTTGATAATGTACTATGAGTTCGTATGCGCTTTTGAAGTTTGCTTTTTGCAATGGTGCACCAGATATTTCTCTCTGGAACACGCTTCCAACGAATGTCAGAACCGCAACCAGTCGTTTGAGTTTCAAGCGGAGGGCGCGTGAGTACATTAGCAGAAAGCTGGCAGTTTCATAACATCTTTTATTAGGTTTCATCTTGTTTTAATATAGGATAAATTCATATACGGCTCATAGATAGATTATATTATGATGTTATTTATATCTATCTATATCTATATATATAAAAATCAATGCCACTTTTCGTTGTAATTTCATAACTCAAGAACGGGCTCACCTATCCAAACCAAATGCTTAGGATTTGGTCGGCATATTTAGTAGATGGTTTACACGGAATATAGAATACAATGGAAGTAGCTTAAAACAATATTTCTGCCAGAACCGGTGTCGCCAAACTAATACATTTATAATTTACTCATACTAAAAGTCGGAAATTACGATTGGTGAGAAAAAAAATGGGCGTAAACGAAATGCAAAAAAAATATCATACGATATGCAACTTTAAAACCAATGTACTATAAATCAAAATAAAAAAGTATGTTTTGGACTACCAAGTACCGCCATTCGTCGCTAGATGGCGTTTAACAATGCCATCTAGCGACGAAAAGTGGTACTTGGTTTGAACTTTAACGTTGTAAGAATAAAGGTGATATTTGAATGGCTTATCACTGGCTCGAATGCGGGTCTCTACTCAGATAGTGATGTAGGATAATTCGATAAAAATAATATCGATAATATGAAAATGTGTTTTAAAAATAATATGAAAAAAAATATTGACTGCTATAGTGTGACAGTATTAAAATAATAAAATTAATATGTCGTTGATAACTTTTTAAACGTAACAAAAAAGGGTAAGTATTTATTTACATGTAAATCAAAAACCATTTTGTTCGTATTTTTTATTAGTTTCTTTTTTCAAAAAATCATTTTTTTTATTTCACATAGGCAATATAAGTAACAACTATTACATAAATTTTTACAAACTTTATATGGATAATGTGATAAATGAGAGGGATGGCGATAAGGATGACGGTGCTGATCTGCTCCGTGAAGTGAAGGTTGCTTCCAATCACGTCGGGGTCACCACTAAAATAATAATAAAAAAATAATCTAAATAAATGTTACATTACACTTGCATCGATATCAATCGATAAATTCAATATGTGATTTGACTACATAACTATTTGAGTAGCGTAGAACTGGCGAGAATGTTCTATTGAATGGAATAAATCCAAAATAAACTTTATCTTGAAGGCGTAAGGTTGATTTTGACTAACCGTTTTAGTAAATAATATTATTTTAATAACTGTTTTTGTAAATTGAAATAAAATAAGATTTCTACAAGAAAACAATAAAAATTGTACTTACCGATGATACGGAACACCTCCATTTTTACGATTTTTCGGCTGCTATCATTTTTACACGCCAAAACGGAACAAAACGGCATAGTTGAGGAAATATGTATTTGACACGAGACTAGCAACTCGACGCCATGTTCGAACGAGACTGAACTCAAATTTTGCCTCGAGTAAGCAGTACACAGCTTAGCTGTGGCACGCGTGCCACGCCTACTTGCTACTTCCATTGTATTCTATATTCCGTGTGTGGCACAGGTAAAACGTTCGTTATATCATTGATTTTAGCGACTATTCGATCAGATCAGAAAATTGCACTAGCACTTGCATCTTCGGGAATTGCTGCTACATTATTAGAAGGTGGTCGGACCGCACACTCTGCATTAAAATTGCCATTGAATGTACAGGTGATTGAAACTCCAACTTGCAATATATCGAGAAATTCTGCTATGGCAAAAGTTCTGCGATTAACGTCAATTATTTTATGGGATGAGTGTACAATGGCGAATAAAAAATCACTAGAAGCATTCAATCGAACAATGCAAGATTTACGTGGTAATCAACAGCTTTTTGGTGGTGCTTTGATATTACTTTCAGGGGATTTTCGTCAAACATTGCCTGTCATTCCTCGATCAACTCCTGCTGATGAAATAAATGCCTGCTTGAAGTCATCAGTTCTTTGGAGATATCTACAAAAATTGACACTAAACATTAATATGCGTGTTCACCTACAAAATGATCCAGCTGCCCATGAGTTCTCAAAACAATTGTTAGAAATTGGTGACGGCAAAATACAAATCGACAGAACCAACGGATTGATCGCTGTACCGAACAATTTTTGTACAATTGCGCAATCGATAGATGAATTGATTGAATGTGTTTTTCCGAATATTGTTCAGAATTACAGAAATCATGATTGGTTGACAGAACGCGCCATTTTAGCACCGAAAAACATTCATGTCAATGCAATTAATTTTCAAATTCAAGCGAAACTGCCAGGCGTAGTCACGAAATATAAATCAATTGACAGTGTTATGAATCAAGATGAGGCAATGAATTATCCAATTGAATTTTTAAATTCATTGGAGCCGGCTGGTATGCCACCGCATTGCTTGAATCTGAAAGTTGGTTCTTCGATTATATTATTGCGAAATATTAATCCACCAAAACTGTGTAACGGAACCAGATTGGCAGTGAAAAAGTTATTGCCAAATTTGATTGAAGCTACGATCTTAACTGGTAAATCAAAAGGAGAAGTTGTTTTGATACCGCGTATACCTATGATTCCAACTGATATGCCTTTTGAGTTCAAACGTTTACAATATCCTGTGCGTTTATCATTTGCGATGTCCATCAACAAGGCCCAAGGTCAAACACTTCACGTTTGTGGTGTGAATTTGGAGGAACATTGTTTTTCACATGGCCAGTTATATGTTGCCTGTTCCAGAGTCGGTACCCCCAGCCGTTTGTTTATTTATGCTCAAAATGGAAAAACAAAAAATATTGTTTATCCAAATGTTTTGGATTAAGTGTGTTGTAAATAGCTAGCAATTGATTTCGATTTTAAATAAAATATTTTTTTGATTAAATAAATGAATTTGATGTTCCGATTTGTTTATTTTATTTCACTTTATACGTAGCGAAGCACGTACCGGGCCGCTAGTATATGTATATTATTATATACGTATTTTATGTGTGCTTTGATGCTCCTTATTAATTTTGATAATTACCACTAACATTTTTGCAGCTTACCACCTACCACATACATTTCTGCACTACCCAAAGGATGACTGGCAGAGAATGCTGTTAGCATTAAGTCCTCCTTATGCAATTGTATTGTATAAAACTTAAATAAATAAATAAATATTTTTTGCTTTAAATATTTTTTCTTTGTTTTCCTAATACAGAACCATTTTACTTCGGGACGTAAACAAAAAGGTTTCACGGTGTAAATGCGAAGTTTGTGTATATTTGTCATGCAATCACGTTACAAAGGCTGAAGGGATCAGGGTGAAATAGCATTTTTTTAAGGGTGGAAAATCATCGGCCGACTGCTCCCGCCTGGGTGAGGCGGGAGGGAGTGTCAGACTCTTACTAACTAAAAACCACCCCGTGTCTTGTCCTGCACTTCGAGCCGGAGCCCCGGTTACCCGGATAGGTTAGGTTTTTCGCATTACAGGTGTATTATGGTATAGAATAACATATACGGTACCTTTTATCCCACGAAAACGCGGGCGAAGCCAATGGCAGAAGCTAGCCAAATACAACATCAATACAAGACATTTTCATGTATGACAGTGTATGTAAGGAATAATGGGAAATGTCATCAAGAGAGAGTCATGCTTCGGCATTGTCGGATCGGCTCGCAGAAAATCAGCATGAAACATCCACAGCCATGTGATTGAGGTTACCGGAGATGCCATCTTTCCCATTGTGGAATAATGCTTGCTTTATTCTTCATATGAGTGAGATTACTGGAGTCCAATTCTCTTCCACAATTTCCGAATCTTTAACCGACCGATAACGTACTTGTGTACCTCTAGTGTTGCGTGTGTCCATGGGCATGGATTGCTTACCATCAAGTGATCCGTCTGCTAGTTGACCTCGTATACCGTAAGGCATGCTCCACAAACCTGTACAAGGCTGCGCACGATGCAGAGCGCGTCGTGCACGGAGCGCTTGGCCTCGTCCACGATCATGCGGTTGCCGCCGCGCATCAACACTGTCACCGCGCGACTGTTCGAGCACTCCTCGATCACCAACATCTCTTCCTTCGATGTACCGAACGCTGAAAACATTGTCAAGTGTTGGCTAATCCTGGTCTTGAATTATTTGTGAAGGTCCAGCGAAGGTTTAAAAGGTGAGAAAATATGTTTGAGATGGTACGAAGTATGCCAGGTTTGCTAGTACAATTATAGTTTCGGATTACTTCACCGTTTGATCAATTGTGACAACAATAAACCACGCGAGAGAGCCATTCTATAATACAAACCTGTATAGATTTAACATGAATAGTAATAAAGTGATGACTTGAAACACAGGTTGCATAAACCTAGTTCAAGCAAATCGCGACAAATATTAGTATTAGTCCTATTATTTTTCTGTCCATAGTTTTAATCATAATTATGTATTATTATTATCTAGTTAATAGTCTAGCATAATTTTACTTTAATATAGTAATTAAAAAAAAAAACATTGTAAGTGGAGTCCATACAAATAAATTATTCTTATTATTCACGTTTGGAAAGAAAGAAATAAACCAGTGTGAAACAACCAAACTGTTATGTTTCGTCACGTGAGTGATGGTGGACTACAATACATGTATCACCTTCTCTACTCTCTTCGTGCATGTTGTAAGAGCAGACTAAGAAATTACACAGTAAATAGGGATCAGATAGTAGCGTTATCTGATAACACTGACATTTTTAAGCTGCAAACTCCAATCTGCCTGCCTTTTATTATTATTTTTTTAAGGGGGGTAAAATCATCGAATGACTACTCCGGCCTGAGTGAGGCGGGAGGGAGTATCAGACTCTTACTGATTAAAAACCACCCCGTTCCTTCTCCCGCACTTCGAGCTGGAGCCCCGGTTACCCGTTAGGTTCTCCGCGACATGCCTACCATTACGATTATTGGAAACCCTCTTATGTAATGGAAGATTCATAGTCTAAAAATCTACTTACTCAGTTCCCTGACCAATCCACAGGAGCCAAGTTTGTCAGGAGTCAGCTCCTCGAACCGTGGCACGATGCGTCCACCGGTGGCGATGGCGATCAGTTCCATCTCTGGACCTCCCACCCATCTCACTGCTGGGAGACCTTCAGCCAGGAGAAGATGGTTCGCCTCGTCATCGAAGCCCCATTGACAGATGGCGAGGGTTGCACCAGCATCCTGGAGTTTGAAGATATCATTTTAAGTTACAGTTGCAACTTGTGGATTATTAATAGAATTTTAGAGATACAACTTCATAGTATTAGTTGCTTTGAAAAGCTAAATTTAACTTGTATTTTGAATTAATATTTTGAGACATCAGTAGGAAGGCAGCATGCGTTTATCACCACAGACATTCTGTCATTTGCACATCGCATGATTTGTCATCATAGTCTCAGTAGAAAACTAACCAAGTTATTGAAGAAAAGAAATATAACAGTTAACATAAAAAAATAATATTAAACAATTAATTTTAAGTTCATGTTTGTGTTATTTAGTTTCTCATTTTTAATTTTAATAAAATGATTTAGATTCCGCAAGACCACCATAGTTTCAAAAAGTATCGAATGGAACATATATTAGGAAACTTATGATAGAATTTCAATCATATTATGAAGATGATCTTAAAAACAACTGAATGATTTGATGCCATACAGATTTGAAAATGGGACTCATAAAAAAACTGACAAAACAATTATAGGATATGTAAAAATAAAACTAAAACTATGTTTAAAAAAAGCGACTTCAACCGCTTCCTCTTTGGGGCCATTCAAGTATTACGTAAACACCATTGGTCTCTGTTTCACTTATTTTGGATGCTAAGGGGGGTAGGGGAGTCTAGATGATGATTACGTCATCAGTACTTATTTACTTTTTTACACGAATGGCAACCCTCATATTGAAATTATAAATTACAAGCAAACACCGACAAAGAACTAGACATTATGGCATCTAAGAGAATATTAAAATGACAATATATATAAAAAAGATATAATTTAAAAAGTTTACATAAGAAAAGGGGGAGGGGGTAAGATCTTTGCTTACTTTTGCTGACAAAGGGGGATGGGGGGGTCAATCATTGCAAAAAATCTGGTTACGTAATATTTGAACGACCTCTTTTTTTGAAGTTCATTAACCCATAAATTACCAAGCGGTCACCGGTGACCGCTTTCCACTAATATTACATTACATTATAGACCTTATTTGTAATGTTTAGAGACTACTTTTGTATGACCAAATTTAGGGGGTGGATTTCAACGGGTTAAGCGTAATAAACACTTCTGAAACCGCATCTATTGGCTCAGCCAATCGCGAGATAATTGCTCTCAAAAATACATACATACAGGTCACACCGAAAACCTCCTTTTTTGTTAAAGTCGGTGAAAATATTAAACATAAACATTACCTTAACTTTATGCACCATCTCCAAGAACTTGTCGTGTTCATACTGACGCAGCTCGCGGTACTCGTCCGCTGAGCCGACGTGCAACTTATGCTTGGTCTTAGGCTTAGGAGGCTCAAACGGACATGTCAGGATCGCCAGCTTCACGTCCTGTAAGGGAAGTTTAGTTAGGTTAGACTTTATTGTGCAGGTGGTACAGTTGAAATCGAATCTCGTGAGAGTCCACTGCTACTTTTTTTTTAAACGTTGCTCCACTTTTGTATTTTCTCCCGTGTCGTGGGTGCGTTTACAAACATACAAGTTCACATACACATGACACCTAGACCCGGAACAACAATTTGTGGATCACACTAAGAGTTGTTCCGCGCGGGAATCGAACCCACAACACGTTGCGCGGCAGCCAGTTGCCCAACTACCGCACCAACCGTGCAGTCGAAAAAACTGTAGGTATCTTCTACAATAGATGGGTTTACCATCTTCTATATCCACTTTGACATCGCAGTTTAAAAGGTTCAGGTTTATCAGCACTGCTAGACGTTTTTTGTTGAATATGTAGTCTCTTAGGAAAACTTCTGCGACACCCACAGTGTGGGGGGAGGGGGTGACTAAGGCGCTAATCTACCAAGAGGTAATTTTGTTCAATCATTGTCTTTAATTTTTTACTAAGATGTTCTCCTGTGTCGTGTCGTCGTCACCCAGACCCGGAAAAATACATAACCGATCACATAGAGATGTTCCGTTCGGGAATCGAACCCGCGACACGTTGCGGGGCAGACAGTTGCCCAGCCACCGCTCTAACCGTGCAGTCCGTGCAGTTAAATTAAACATCAAATATTATGACACTAACTTCTCTATGGACGACAAAACAAGAGTGCTCACTAGCGTCGTCTCGTGAGCAAAAAAAGTATTAGCCTCCATTGTATTCTACTCTAACAGTCACCAGTGCTAAAGTAGGGTCAAAAAGTATTTCGTAAAAAACATACCCTCAAAGTCTTAGGCATCTGCGGGTGGCTCATGGTCTTGTCGATGACAACTCCCTTGACCAGCATGGAATCTTCCATGCGACCTCCAACCTTGCCTTCCACCTTGATCAGTTCAAAGTTCACGTCCCTTTTCTCCAGGTCAGCTACCGAGAGAACAGCCTGTGGAAGGAATGTTTTTAATGTGAAGTGTTATTTTAGGTATGAAATCTGTTAAAGTATTATTTATTAAAACTTTAAAGTAACATTTAAATATCAATTTATTAATGTAAAATTATAACAATTTATATTAAATGGAAGAACTTAAGATATAACTTTGTGTTGTATTATGAGTCTAAAAACTTTATCGTGATTATTTTAAATAGATAAATTGAGACATCAGTAGGAAGGCAGCATGCGTGTATCACCACAGACATTCTGTCATTTGCACATCGCATGATTTGTCATCATAGTCTCAATATCACCTAAAAATATCTTAGCTAATACAATGTACTACACGTCGATTTAAAGGCGTAGATAGAGGCAGGCATGTCATTTTCTATGTTCCACTTTATTGAATGTACTCCATATTAATCCCTAGATTCCAATTCCCTTCTCCCTCATCATCAATTGATTAATTAATCGACTGATAATTATAATTAAGTTGATTAACTAAAAAATTAAATAATTCTTTGACGACTACTAACTAACGGAATCTCTTTTTTTTACTTTTATCTCTTTTTATTTTTATAATCGCCGTTTTAGGTTATATATTTGTTAATAATATTATGTTATTTAAAATAAGGAAAGTGAATATTTATTTCAATTAAACCTGCAATACTTATAAAACGTCAAAAAATAAATTGATTAACTTACATCAACAGCAATCTCAGCCATCAAACGGTGGCACTTCACAACCACTTTACTGCCCAACGTTGTCATGGCAACCTTGATCAGGTGCTCCCTGGTATCCTTGTTGACAGGGAAAGCTTCACTGATGCCCTCCAAGTGAGCCAGTGCAGTGGCAGCGGCCATTTCAAAGCCGTCCGCTACACGGATGGGGTGGATACCCTTGTCAAGGAGGTTGGATGCCTGCTCTAATAGGGCACCTGGGAAGACAAAGTACAATTATATTATTTATGAAAGAAAAATCTGTGGCAAAACTATTCTAGTCTGCTGTAACCACATGACAACATCATCCAACTGATCATGGCAACATAACATTTTTTTAAATGGGACTTGCTACTTCCGCGCGGTTCTACACGCTCTGCTCAGCTCCTATTGGTCGTAGCGTGATGTTTTATAGCCTATAGCCATCCTCGATAAATGCGCTATCCAACACAAAAAGAATTATTCAAATCAGACTTGTAGTAATAGAATAGTTTCTATTTAAACATGATAATGAAATAGACCCATAGGCTAGGCTCTTGTACGATTTAGGCATTTGTGCTTGTATGTGTGTGTGTGTGACAAATGAACGATTTTAAAGTGAATTTAGTTTAAATCAAAACACGAGAAATATTTGAAGTAATAGAAGGTTAAGTATCTCTGTGTCACGTGGTTTTGTTTGTTTACCTTTAGTTAATTACCTAAACAGATGGACTATACCTCTATAATAGTATAAGAGTACAATATGAACAGGCCGGAAAATTAACAGGCGTATCACCTGATGGTAAGCAATCGGCGTCACCCATGGACACTTGGCACAGCAGAGTCATTACAAGTACGTTACCGGCCTTTTGGAGATTATGAATTTGGGGAATGTTGGGGATTCAGGGAATGGGGAAGAGGGGCGTGTGGTTGGGACTCCGGTAACCTCACTCTGACGACGAAACACAACACAAGCGTTGTTTCACGTCGGTTTTCTGTGAGACTGATGTAACACTGGGGTCGAGCCGGCCCATTTGTGCCCAAGCATCTTTTGATGATTTTCTTTTGGGATGAATAACAAGAATGGAAAAATTATACAGGTTGTTTTTTTTTTCAAAGGTGTTAAAGTACTTTGATATGACAAGTTACATTTATCTTATTAGCGCCATGGCCTATTGGAATTAGTAATTATTTTCCACAGAGAATTAGATGTAAATACAGAACTGACGATTCTTTGTTATCAAATATTCATGCAAAAGAAACATTTGGAGTTACCTGCAGTAGGCTGTATGCTTTTTAAAACGAATGTGCTAGGTAAACATATTTTAATAACTTACAACTAAATAGCATACATGAAATCCTTACTAATATTATAAATCAGAAAGTGAGTTTGTTTGTTCCGCTTTCACGCCGAAACTACTAAACCGATTGCTTTGAATTTTTGCAGATGTAAAGTTATAAGTATGGATTAAATAATAGGGTACTTTTTATCCCGAAAAAAATTGATATTCTAGAGAGAAAACGAAATTATTGGTATAGATGGCGCTGTGTGTTTTGTCTATGTCACATAGGCTACTTTTTATCCTTTAGTGACGCGAGCGAAGCCGCGGGTAAAAGCTAGTAGATCCATAAAAATGAAAACCTGTTCAAACAGAACTTACCAGCCAACACAACGACTCCGGTAGTACCATCACCAATCTCATCATCCTGACTCTGGGCCAACTGTACCAGCAGTTTCCCAATCTGATGCTCTACATCCATCAACTTCAAGATGGTGGCTCCATCGTTAGTGACTGTAACATCACCGTCCGGAGATACCATGAGCTTGTCCAGCCCACGGGGACCTAGGGAGGTGCGGAGAATGCCCGCAATCTGTCGGGCTGCTGAAATGTGGGACTGTAAAGGTAGAAATAAAAATTATAGATAATCTTTAATTTTATCCAAGGTAGATAAGAGTCTTGTACAGAACAGTAACAAATTAAGCTTCGTTTAAGCTTTCTTAATTTTGTAATAAAATTTAAAATCTATCAAGTAATATTACAGCTTTTCTTTTCAAGATATAAAAATGGAATTAAATTCTCTGATAATACTATGTATTATATTTTATTTATTTGATTAATATTCAATACCAACATAGTACTACGCATTGTCTATCAGTAAACCTTTGAGTGATGCAGAGATGATTCATTTTTCATAGGAACATGAATAAGTAGTGAAAAAAAAAATCAGTATCAATATATTTTATAATTATTCCAAATTAATACTTTAAAGTTTTAATTAGAATTGGCAGTAAATTCTTATTTACTACTGAAAACACTACAATAGTAATTTGAATTCAATGTACTATAGATAGATAATCAATAAAAATCCTTCATATTTGCAACAAAAATACAGAAAAAAAAATTATATCGATATTAACTCATAAATAAAATTTAATTATAAATCACAGCTTCACATGTTAAAATGCATAACTCAAAAGAAAAAAAATATATTAGGTTACTTAAATAGAACAATGGAAAAAAATAAAATAACAAGTTTTGAGACAGATTTCGTACAGAATCATTAATTTTCAACAAAACAATGCATAATATTGGGATCAAATAAGATTTTGAGACAATAGGGACTCCATTTAGAGATAAAAATCTCACAGGTTGCCTAAATTTTACGATCATGTGATTCATAACACCTGACATTATGAATTCTTGTATTTTGCAAGAAATGCATTTATGACAACAATTTATTGTCAAATAAGTTTCATATGTCCATAAACTGTAATTTCAAACCGAGTTTTATTTATAACATTCAATGGATTTAGTTAATTTCTTGCTTTACCGAAGTTGTATTGACGACTTTAGGTTATGTTTTTATAAATCGTTTTTTGTACTTTTCATAGAGATTTTAACTGAATTACAGCTGGGATGAGTCTGATTAACTATTTAGTTAGTCTGAAAAAGGGTTTATTGTGCTAATTAGGGAATAAAATAGAAATAATTTACCTTCAAGGCATCGATACCGGTAAGCCGTTTCTGCCTATCTTGGTCCCTCAAAATGATAAATGGACGACCATACTCGTCAAAGGCCACCGCTCCGGGGAACAGAGCCATTTTTTAATATTCTATCACTTCACAAACTCAAGATGAAAGCAGATTTAGTTTCATAGATTTCACTACAAAATCGAAACAAAAACCAAATGACAGTTCCATAAATTGAATTTGACAATTCGTCATATGACCACAGACTAGGTAGACGAAAAATCATTTTCACGCAGAATATTTAACCAAAGAGTACGAGAACATTTTGCACTTTTATTTTAAGGCAAAATAACTATGAATTTGTCGAATTTTGTTAGAATAAAATTATATGTATTGATTTACTGAATTATAATTAGTTAGTATAATAATTATTCTATTAAATAGTACAGTAACAATTCCTTGGATTACTGACATAATGCCTCAATCAAAGGAATACCTACCTAGGTAGAGGTTCCCCCATCTTATTTTTATATATATTTGATGAGCCGACGTTTAACTACTACCTCTCCTGGTGGTAAGCGATGATGTGATCTACGACTACGATGCAGCATCTCATCTCATGAGCAACCTATTCACTCAAGGCTTGAAGTTACCCAGGTTATACGCCTCAGAAAATACAGACTCTGGCATAGAATTCCATTTCTTAGCCGTACGGACAAGGAAGCTTGATGAAAACATACTTTACTTATTACACGCTTTAGGTAGAGGTAACGAACGCACATTTATCCACAGCCTAGGATGATAATAATATAATATGAATAAATGCTGCAGGCAGAAATCCACCTCTTTTTATCTATCTACCTAATATTATTTAGCTGCTGCCACCACAATTTGCTCTTTGTTATTATTTATCTATATATTACAAAGGTAAGTAAGTATCTTAAAATCTAAGCCCCACGTTAGTTTACCACTTTGCAAATGAAACTAACAAAATTACCCAAAAATACTTTTATTTAAGTAAATGTTAAGTTTTAGCACACTTGTTTCCATGAAGGTGGTTTGGCATGGTCATAAATGGTAGCAAGAACGTAACATAGACCAACAAAGCATGCTATCAGAGTAATGCCGTACAGAACTCGATCACAGAAACCCCCTTTTAGAAACACGGGGCGTCCATCATCACATTGAAAATCAGCTTGTATCTTCTTAAATTTTATCAATTCTCTTTGATCTAGTAAACGCGGCGTGGTTGAAATGCCTCGTCGTAAATATCTGGTAACGATCCTCAGTAACATATTAATTTTTTTAATCCGCTTTCTCTCCCGTTTGTTGATTCGAATGTTTTTGACAAATTGTCGAGGTTTTGAATTTTTTACGTCATTCTTATTCTATTGTAACTGGCCTGTTTGTTATCTTTGGTGTCAATTGAGTAAAACCTCATTTTACGTGCACCTGTTGAACGCGATGGCCAGGCAGGTATTGATTGAATATAGACCCGGGAATCAAACCCAAGAATTCTTATTGCCTTGTTCGATAGTAGCACTTGTACCAATGACTGCAGCAGAGGGTGATATATTATAATGTGAGAAGACGCTTTAGTTAGCTTTTTGGTTTTGGGGCATAAAACGGGCGAATTCTGAAAGATGTTGTCTTATAAAAAGATCTCAACTTGTAACATCGTAAACTTGATTAGCATGCAATAATTCGTTATTTTTCTAAATAAACTTTCAAACCTTCAAGAAAATAGCGTAGGTATTATTTTTTAAAAGGCCGGCAACGCACCTGTGACTCCTCTGGTTTTGCGGGTGTCCATGGTTGGCGCTCAGCGCTTACCATCAGGTGATCCGTAGGCTCGTTTGCCTCCTATTCCATAAAAAAAATAAGTTTCTAAAAGCCGTGACTGGAACTGGGTACTGGAGTATAATGCCCCACTTGAACTGCTATAAATGAAACAACAATACTACACAAAAATACGTCTATATTGCAATCATCATAATTAATACATCATTATTCATTAAACTGAAATTATCTATCCTTCACTTAGCCGTAGCACTGTCATAATGTCCTCACATCCGAAATCTGAAACTTTTACCGAGCGAGAAGTCTTATTCCGAAGACTTTCTCGCTCGTTTCCGACGCTAAATGTCGAACCTTTCGAAAGCTAAAGACTTGCCCTCCTCGTCATATTCTTCTTTCGTGACACAGAAGGAATAGAAGTCAGGGTCTCTGAAGATTTGCTTGCCACCTTCCCAAGCGTAAGTAATAGGGTTGTCCGGCTTCATAACATTGACGTCGAAGTGATCCAAAGCTAGGCATCTGACGTCATTGTAGACCCGATCTCTAAAACCTGGAAACATGGCATTGCCCCCATAAAGAACTATGTTTTCTAGCAAGCTCTCAGTGTGTTCCTCCGGGCAGGCGGCTATGGAATGCATTATTGCTTCTGGAATCCCCATCTGAGGTATTCCAACGTCTGATGGATGGAACAGCAGTTCTGGTATGGCGAATCTCTCATTGTTCATCCGAAGGGTCTGCTGTTCTAAATCTTCGTCCGGTTTGACAATATCGCGTAAATATCCGCGGCGAATGGACGTGTAGTCTGGCAGAACATAGTCTTTCACTATTGTGTTTTCTGAACCTGTAATTAGAAAGTTTTTTGTGGTAACATAAATGGTTTTAGTGATTATGTCAAGTAAGTCATGTCTTAAACGAATTAAAGGAAAGACGACAGCTAAAGAAAACTGAAGACGTATTGAGCCGACCATAAGATCTTTGGGTAAGGTTACATGAAAACAAAATAAAACAAAAGTTCAGGCGATGGTATCTCGTAAATGAAATATTTCAATGTGTAAAATTCTAATAGGACAGTCAGTTTATATGATACCGTAAATTCGAGTGATAATTGAAATACAAATGTCTGAATTACAAGCATAGCATGTAAATCAGACATGCTCCTTCTAAAGCCACATCATCACTTATCAGCAGTCAAGATAGCAGAACTATTGTCAAAAAGAAAATACATAATGGTAATTATTAGGTGGGCAAATTAGAGTTAAGAAGCACTATCTCTCTTTTCTATAATGTCATCATTAAACTGTTTTGTTTCCTCTTATGTTATGCACAATTTTGGTATATTTAAGTGTAGGTATGTGTATATGTATGCATGGTTATCTATTTATTTGTTTTTTGTAGTACACAATGCGTCTAAATATTTCTTTTGCAATATATCCACCCAATGGTTGTCTGGTAGAAAGCACTACAAGTGATAAGACCGCCTTTGTGCCCATTATTATTTTTATTTATGTTTGTTATTTCCTTTTTCCATTTGTTCTATATTTATGGTGTACAATAAAGACTATTCTATTCTACACATGCACCACAAAACATACATACTGAAAATTATTTAGAATATTTCAGAATTATACAGAGATTAATTAAAAGTAACTATTACAACTGACAAAAACATTAGAATTGGACAGCATTTTCTTTAAAATACCATAATATTATGTATGCAATTATGTGAAGAAAATTTAATCAAATATTTTCACCTTTCTTCTTAGCAATCTCCATGTCCGCTAGAAAGTCTTGCGACACAAAACAAGAATCCTCCTTTGCCTGATTTATAACATAAGTTTCATCCATGACATTCAGCTGCCTATATGACAAAACTTCTTTCAAATGATTCGTCAGTACTTTGCCACCAACATCTATCCTTCTTATGCCCTCCCGGTACTTTTTTCCATCAATATACGGAACTATGTTGGTAAAACTATATCCAGAGTCAACTACAAGGGTACACTTATTGTTATGATCCTTTCGATACTTGTATTCAGCCAAATCAGTAGCATTTATCCGCAATAATGACGTACATTCGTATTCTTCGAAGAATATTTCGGTCATCGCTTCTTGTATGGATGCGAAGTTGAATAATGGCTCAGTTATTATAAGAGGTGTCTCACTAAAGTTAACGGGACAGCATTCCTTGCTAAACATGTAGTCCCACACTGTTTTTTGAGTATCCCAGTTGATAAGAAAACCTCTTTGGAACGGCAGAATGTAAAACAATCCTGATGCATCTCTGCAGTCGTCAATTTGAGAACCTATAAATGGACGACGTCTTTCTGACTTCGCTTTCATAATACAGTTAGGGACTACCTTAGCCTCCGTGTTTGAAAACCCCACTTTAGCCGAGTAACCCCCATTATCCAGAATATAACAAGATGTTTCTGACATTTTTCGCTCTTCACTTCTTTTAGGTTACCGGCGAAAAGGTCTCCAATTAGGATTGGTTTCACATTGAAAAATGATCGTCAACTAACATTGTACTTGGTTTAATTCAATTCTTTATTTTAACACCTAAAATATTGTTTTTTGTTAATAAAAAGGTACGACGCGCTACTTTAGAGTACGCCCCGCACTTGCAAAACAAAACAATTGTCACTGTCACCTTGACTTTGACTTTCATTCATTCATAGACAAACTGCAAATGTTTTTTTGTATTTCGATCCTAAGTCTTTTAGTCATTTTTATTTATCCTGGCAACATTTCACGGACCATTATAGTTTCGTTAAATTCTAGCTCAGTAAATAGTTTTGAAACCTATACAGAAAACATAGATATTTATCACATCAGTGCATATCATAGTGCATCAGTAACATACACTAATGACGTGGTCATAAAATATTGCATCCGTCATTGCAGAGGCTTATTTCCAACCGGCCAGGTTCAATACTTTGGGCATAAGAAGGGGATTTTTATTTGCCTATCACTTATTAAATTAAAAAATATTGTGACTTTATTGTCGAACCACTTTGTTATTGACTGGAGAAATTATTTATCAAATCTCACCAGAATAAGCAGGTCAAAAACTAACCAAAACAAAAGTTACCTAAAAGTTGTGTTTTTAAAAACACAACTCCAGTTTTAAAGAGAGTTCCTCGAGGTGCAAGAGCATCCGTAGCTTCAAGTTTAGCACGCTGCATTGGTCTTGTGGTTCGAGAGAACTCTCTAAGTGCTTGGGAGCAATTATTAACCTTTCTATTTAGGATTCTACATGTGCAGAAAGATTTGGCCAACAAAAAAACTTTAACAACCCAAATTAAAGATAATTGCTTTTCTCAAACACAAACTTTCGACCCTAAATTATCAGTACACTTTTCTCACAAAGGTTTGCTGCATCATGTAGAGTCCAAAATAGCGGATGGCGATATCCGTGGTGCTGCTAGGGTTCTATTTAGTAGTGATGTGGTTGCTACG